ATTTCCCAATGCACCTGACACGAAGACACAATACACATTCTACGTATCACAACCATTCGCATCTAGGGACTGAAGGGACATGGTGATTCGTCACTAGTAGAACTGATGAACATAACACACCTGTATGCTCGCGATGTCCTCCCCCTTGTTGTTGCACCCAGGGGCTGCGTTCAGCGCCGTCCGCAGGTGTTTTAGATCAGCCCCAATTTCCTTCTCGAGCATCGCATCACGATTCGCCTGTGGCGCATTCGGGATGCAGAAAGGTGCCGCCTCCCTGCAGCGGGGAACGTGGAGGAGCCAAGATCGACGCGAGAGCACTCGCACGCCCGTCCTTTGTGCCTGCGGGAGAAATGGGAATACTACCACCACGTTAAACCGTGTTAACGAACGATGATGCAAATGACACGACAAAATAACCACCTGACACGCACCTTGATCATCGCTGTGTCGTACGCCTTCTTCGCGCGAAGCATGGGTGCAATTGCTTGCAATCGCAAGCGCTGCTCCTCGCTCTGTACAACCTGTGCGTTCACTGTGCGCTTGTTAGATGCGCGATATGGTGTTTTGATGAACTCTATGTGCAAGTGCTCGTAGAGCTGGGCGGAGTAGTGCTCTGGCAATCCTGCACGACGGATCGTATCTATGAAGTGGCTAATCAGGTGCATTTTGATGAAGTTCCAATCTGATGCCTGCTTGAAATGCGTCGTCAGGCCGTGTATCATCCTGCACAAGAAAGAGTGGATGATTCAGATTTGGCACGGAGGGTGAATGATAAAGACGTGTCAAGCATTGCAACGAACACCACTCACCGGTGCGCCTTGGTCTTCAAGTCGAGCAGACTTTTCTCTGTGTGCTCGCCCGCTCGTGCAGACTCCAAATACCACGCAACCAGGTTCATTGCACGTGACGTAGCCACGCGTACAAAGCCACGCGGCAACACTCGAGGGTGACACCCCTAACCCTATCCCGCACAGCGGCGGTTCTATGAACGTGGCTGGGATAGAGCATTGGTTCGGTGCGGCGATTTCCCATTGGCCACTAAAAGGTGTGTTGTGCCAGCTGTTGGCATACGTGACGTGGCCGCCGAAAGGTGTTTCCAACATAGTAATGCTATGTAATTTGCCTCTGATGGCGCGATGTACATTGTATAACACACGCACGAATAGCCTGGTTAAATTATAATTATTCAGAGTAGTGCCCAGAACTTACATAATATTTGTGTACTTTGGTTGCACCTTGAGTGTGTTTTTTGATATCATCTTTAGCAATTCGCGAATCATTAGACCTATTGAAATGTAGGTAATCGACTAAATCTAGGTGTTAACCGAAATATATGTGACAGTAACACGACACATCAAGCTGCGAAAATAGTGTCCGGTATAAATTCCTTATGTCAGTGCAAAATATGGCTGGGAAATATAATATTCTAGGGAAATGTGTCAAGAAATATAGGTAAAAACAAGACCCCGACGTTGAGACGGTGACATGTTGCGCACAGGCCTATCCTCGCACAGATTTATTCCAGCAAACGCACACGCATGCGCCACGTGCTGCGTAGTTGTGCGAACGAGGTCAAACCAGTTCCTGTGGCTAGGGAATAGGATGTAGTAGGAATTTGTGTGAATAAACAGTGATTAAAAAAGCATCCGGAGGTTGGCGTAGTAACATGTTGCGCACAGGCCTATCCTTGCACGGATTCAGGCTAGCAAACGCAAAAACAGGTGCCACATGTTGCGTAGTTGTGCGAACGAGGTCAAACCTGCTTCTATGGCTAGGGAATAGGATGTACTAGGGAGGTGTGTGATGAAATAGGACTAAAAAAGGCATCTAGATGTTGGCGAGCTTACATGTTGCGCACAGGCCTATCCTTGCACAGATTCCAATGTTTTCTCGCATTTTCGGAACATCACAACTCGATTCCAGTTATGGCGAATGACATCTTACCTGACTAGCATGCTCAGTATGTAGTAAATGCTTCAATCATCTACAATACCTTCGTATCATCTACGATGTCATAGTATTCAGGAGTCACCATGCAAAACGGTTTACCAACCAGGAATCCACCTCACCAACGGGCCGAACGAGATGAACGGCTCGTTTGATGCTATGTATCTCAATGACCCGGTAACGCTGCCTTACTGCAGGCCACCTAAGTCTAGTGCACCCCGTCAACTTATCCTTTCTAGGTTGGATCTGGTAGAACTTGATATATGCGTACTCCATGGTCCTCCCATCTACTTTGCAGTGAAATAGTAAAAGAACCTTAGCGTACCACTCTTCCGTCCCATTGTCGGTCTCCCCTTTCACCACCACGTCTGAGTACCATGGACGTCCATGGTGTATTGGCAGGGCACGTACACGATGGGGCAGTCGGCTGTACTGTGCGTCAACTGCTGCTGGCATGGCCAACTCCCAGTGTACCTGCAGACATTACAAAAACAATGGGCTTAGAGGTGATGTCGCCCTAGTGAACGGTATTCTATAGTATAAAAACATTGTACCTGTATGCTCTTGATGTTCGACCCCTGGTTGTTGCACGCAGGGGCAGCGTCAAGGGCCGCTCTAAGGTGTGCCAAATCTGCCCCAATCTCCTTCTCCAGCTTCTCGTCACGCTTCGGTTGTGCGGCGTTCGGGACGCAAAAAGGAGCAGCTGTCCGACCGCGAGGGACGTGTAGGAGCCAAGATCATCGCGAGAGCACACGCACGCCTGTCCGCTGTGCCTGCAGACGTTAATAGCAATGGACATGCACGTTTGAGATTCAAGTCGTACTTGACATGCACACATGCGAATAGAGGAATTAGCTCACCTTGATCATGGCTGTATCGTACGTCTTCTTCTTGGCTAGCATGGGTGCAATGGACTGCAAACGCAAGCGCTGTACCTCACGCTGTACCTCTCACACTACGCTTATTCGAGGAGCGATAGGGAGTTTTTATGTATTCGATGTGCAAGTGCTCGTAGAGTTGTGCAGAGTAGTGGTCTGGCAAGCCTGAACGCCGTATCGTATCTATGAAGTGGCTAACGAGATGCATCTTGATGAAGTTCCAGTCCGAAGTCTGCGGGAAATGTGTAGTCAAACCGTAGAGCATCCTGCGCGACAATTGGGTTGTGAACACACCCAGAGTTAGTAGGCTAATTGCGGCATGTCATACTGCGTCGAATAGATAAGCAACTCACCGTTGAGCCTTGGTCTTCAATTCGTGCAGACTGCCATCGGTGTGCTCGCATGCACGTGCGCACTCCAGGTACCACTCGATGTACGAAACCAAAGCTTTCATTTGGTCATCCGTAATGCACCCTTCCGCAATAAAGGGCAGAACCTGCATCACAGAACGATGCTCGAACGCTTGGTAATTGGCACCTTTGGCGAAGTATTCACCCGATGGCAGCCTCATGCATCCACCACGTGTGGACTTTTTAAGTTGTTTTAGACGTTGATCTAGCAACTTCATCTTCCTGGGATAGTTTTCCCTAATGTGCGCTCGAATGCTATCCACAATGTGCTCGAAAAGGCCTAGGTCAGCTTGATGCATGATATCAGGAAGCACCGCAAGATACGGGTTGAGCAAGCTCTCCGCTTCCCACCGCCATCCCCAAAGGTAACTCTGCACGTATATAGCATACGATAGTTAGACGAGGGTTATAACATAATTCAAAATGGAAGGGGAGTTTGTAACATACCTGGACCGGGTGAGTCGAAATGGCGTCATCGCCATCTGGTTGGATCGTCTTTGTCCGCACCGAGAGAACAATGGCGCGTTGCTCCGATGGCGTCCGCGCTTGAATGCGGTCGGTGAACAACGCAAGCTTGTCCTTATGAACCTTGCATAGTGAGCAAGGAAAGTTCGTCGATCCCGACTTCGTGCACGTTACTTTGCACGATTCCGGGTAATCCGTGACATGTGCATACATGGATGGCCACACGTTGATTGTTTTCCCCGCCGAGTCGACCATATCTATACCCGTATGAGAAGCACGCTTCAACCCCGCTAGCACCTCGTTCATGATATAATGGAAGATCAGCGTCCTATCTAGGGAATCATACTCTTCGGGATACTCCGGGAGCAAGGCAAGCAAGACGTGCCCATAGGGCTTCCACCTATCGTCCTTGTCAATATTTCCTAGTGTCAAATACACGGGATGCCCTTTAGCCTTCCCACGCTGATCCATATGGGTCTCATCACTTGCAAGAATGAGAGCAGCGACAACACCTTCCGGGTTGACTTCACGTATATTCTTTTGAAGCTCCTCCCACCATAGCGCGGTTTCGGGTGTTGAGTAAACTCGCATGGTGCCATCTTTAACGACGCGAGCCTCCATGCTCATCTTTGGAGCAAGATTGGGGTCCTTTAGTAGATCCTGAAGAGCGACCAGTCCATCGCAGTACCAATATTCGAGCCACGCCTTGTTCCCCGCTCGAACGGTTTTGCGTCTCCACCCGCGATGCTTATCCGGGGCCCGTGATTTGACGTACTGTTGGACATCGCGCGCAGACTTCCATCCTGTCAGCTGAGAGAGCTCAAATGCATGGTGGAAGAGAATGTTAAACAAGGCTTTGATTGCCTTTTGGGAGATATTGTTGGCTAGCAACCATTGCGCGAATGCATCCCTGCTGTTGAAGGGTGTTTCTGGCGACGTTGCAGCTAGACCGTTATCAGGCAACACGTTCCCATCACTTCCCTCCTGAATGTCGTCCGGCACGATATAATCATCTGCATCACATGGTAAGCTTGCATTCTCGGAATCACTAGAACTAACGTTGCTAGAAGCACTATCATCCAAATGCACCTCTGTCAGAAAATCACCCCCGGTACATGGCACTGGAAAAGCATGTAGATGTTCGTGAAGAGGGGTTGACATGGGCACGGCTGAAGTCGAAGCAACAGCAGTGGGAATAGGATTGGGTGCTACGGTGGGTATGCGAGGGCGTTTATGCAACCCAGGGTTACTTGTGAAGTACAGCGTAGGTGTCATTGCACGCTTTGCAGGGCAGCTTGAGCTACGCATGTGACTCTCCATGCCCTGTTGGGTCAAGAAGGTGTTGACCTTGCAGGCAGGGCAGCGGTAGCTCATCTGAATGCATGGGGCAGAGAGGGAGTGAATGGGGCAGAGCGTGAATGAATGGGGCAGAGAGGGAGTGAATGGGGCAGAGCGTGAGTGAATGGGGCAGAGAGGGAGTGAATGGGGCAGAGCGTGAGTGAATGGGGCAGAGAGGGAGTGAATGGGGCAGAGCGTGAGTGAATGGGGCAGAGAGGGAGTGAATGGGGCAGAGCGTGAGTGAATGGGGCAGAGAGGGAGTGAATGGGGCAGAGCGTGAGTGAATGGGGCAGAGAGGGAGTGAACGTGGCAAAGGAGGAGGGAATTGGTCAGAGAGGGACTGACTGGGGCAGACAGGGAGTGAATGGGGCAACGAGGGAGTGAATGGGGCAGAGCGAGAGTGAATGGGGCAGAGAGGGAGTGAATGGGACAGAGCGTGAGTGAATGGGGCAGAGAGGGAGTGAGACGGGCAGAGTGGGAGTGAATGGGACAGAGAGGGCGTGCATGGGGCAAGATAGGAAATTAGGAGAGGTGGGGGGGGGGGGGTTGTTGTTTTGAGATACCTTGACGAATTACACAGGGAACAGAACAACTCTTCGCTCCACGACAAGTGTTCGGTGTGTCACCACTGCTCCAACAGGCAGCCCTCTCCTACGGTGAACTGGCCAGGGAGATGAGGGAAAAGGGTGTGACAGAGAAAGTGGGGCCGTCAGAGAGCCAGAGCGGCAATGAGCGGGGATGCGAGAGTGGCAGAGAGAGGTAGCGTGAGAGTGGCAGGGAGAGAGAGAGAGAGAGAGAGTATGCGGCAGAGCACGAGAGAGAATGCGGCAGGGCGTGAGAGAGAATGCGGCAGAGCGCGCACGCGCGCACGAGAGAGAGAGAGAGAGAGAGAGAGAGAGAGAGAGAAAGAGAGAGAGAGAGAGAGAGAGAGAGAGAGAGAGAATGCGGCAGAGCAAGAGTGAGAGAGAATGCGGAAGAGCGAGAGTGAGCGAATGCGGCAGAGCGAGAGAGAGAGAATGCGGCAGGGCGTGAGAGAGAATGCGGCAGAGCGCGCGCGCGCGCACGAGAGAGAGAGAGAATGCGGCAGGGCGAGAGAGAGAATGCGGCAGGGCGTGAGAGAGAGAATGCGGCAGAGCGAGAGAGAGAGAATGCGGAAGAGCGAGAGTGAGCGAATGCGGCAGGGCGAGAGAGAGAGAATGCGGCACAGCAAGAGTGAGAGAGAATGCGGAAGAGCGAGAGTGAGCGAATGCGGCAGAGCGAGAGAGAGAATGCGGCAGGGCGTGAGAGAGAATGCGGCAGAGCGAGAGAGAGAGAATGCGGAAGAGCGAGAGTGAGCGAATGCGGCAGGGCGAGAGAGAGAGAATGCGGCAGAGCAAGAGTGAGAGAGAATGCGGAAGAGCGAGAGTGAGCGAATGCGGCAGAGCGAGAGAGAGAATGCGGCAGGGCGTGAGAGAGAATGCGGCAGAGCGCGCGCGCGTGCGCACGAGAGAGAGAGAGAGAGAGAGAGAGAGAGAGAGAGAGAGAGAGAGAGAGAGAGAGAGAGAGAGAGAGAGAGAGAGAGAGAATGCGGTAGAGCAAGAGTGAGAGAGAATGCGGACGAGCGAGAGTGAGCGAATGCGGCAGAGCGAGAGAGAGAGAATGCGGCAGGGCGTGAGAGAGAATGTGGCAGAGCGCGCGCGCGTGCGCACGAGAGAGAGAGAGAGAGAGAGAGAGAGAGAGAGAGAGAGAGAGAGAGAGAGAGAGAGAGAGAGAGAATGCGGCAGAGCAAGAGTGAGAGAGAATGCGGCAGAGCAAGAGTGAGAGAGAATGCGGAAGAGCGAGAGTGAGCGAATGCGGCAGAGCGAGAGAGAGAGAATGCGGCAGGGCGTGAGAGAGAATGCGGCAGAGCGCGCGCGCGCGCACGAGAGAGAGAGAGAATGCGGCAGGGCGAGAGAGAGAATGCGGCAGGGCGTGAGAGAGAGAATGCGGCAGAGCGAGAGAGAGAGAGAATGCGGAAGAGCGAGAGTGAGCAAATGCGGCAGGGCGAGAGAGAGAGAATGCGGCAGAGCAAGAGTGAGAGAGAATGCGGAAGAGCGAGAGTGAGCGAATGCGGCAGAGCGAGAGAGAGAGAATGCGGCAGGGCGTGAGAGAGAATGCGGCAGAGCGCGCGCGCGCGCACGAGAGAGAGAGAGAATGCGGCAGGGCGAGAGAGAGAATGCGGCAGGGCGTGAGAGAGAGAATGCGGCAGAGCGAGAGAGAGAGAGAATGCGGAAGAGCGAGAGTGAGCAAATGCGGCAGGGCGAGAGAGAGAGAATGCGGCAGAGCAAGAGTGAGAGAGAATGCGGAAGAGCGAGAGTGAGCGAATGCGGCAGAGCGAGAGAGAGAATGCGGCAGGGCGTGAGAGAGAATGCTGTCAGATTTATATGACATAGTTTCTGTAGGCTATAGTGGGGTAGCACATATGGGGTACAGGGTTTCTAGGGTTGTATTTGTACCCAATCTTCCATAGTCATTTAAATTCCTGTTTTCCTTATTTCACATGGTATAGAGCGGGTCCTACCTTAGGACCGGTTTTTTTTAGGGCCCACCGAAGCGCGCCCCGAGGCGCGCCTTTTTTTAGCGACCCCTCGGGTCGCCCTTTCCCTCGCGGCCCCGCTGTCCCTCAGACGCGGCCCCGCCACCTCTCCTGATCGCGGCCCCGCCGCCTGTTTGACGCGGCCCCGCCGCCTCCCCTGACGCGGCCCTGCCGCCTCCCCTGAAGCGGCTCCGCCGCCTCACCTGACGCGGCCCCGCCGCCTGTTTGACGCGGCCCCGCCGCCTTCCCTGACGCGGCCCTGCCGCCTCCCCTGACGCGGCTCCGCCGCCTCCCCAAACGCGGCACCGCCGCCTCCCCTGACGCGGCTCCGCCGCCTCCCCTGACGCGGCCCTGCCGCCTCCCCTGACTCGGCTCCGCCGCCTCCCCTGCCGGCCCGCCGCTGCTCCTGCCGGCCCGCCACTGCACCTGCCGGCCCGCCGCTGCACTCAGCGGCCCGCCGCCTCTGACGGCCTCGCCGCTGCACCTGCCGGCCCGCCGCCTCTGACGGCCTCGCCGCTGCACCTGCCGGCCCGCCACTGCACCCTACGGCCCGCCGCCTGCACCTGCCGGCCCGCCACTGCACCTGCCGGCCCGCCGCTGCACCTGCCGGCCCGCCGCTGCACCTGCCGGCCCGCCACTGCACCTGCCGGCCCGCCGCTGCACCTGCCGGCCCGCCGCTGCACCTGCCGGCCCGCCACTGCACCGGTCAACCCGCCGCTGCACCTGACGGCCCCGCCCCTGGATCTCCTGGCCGAGCCGCCCCAGCAGCCGAACCGCCCGTGAGCCGAGCCGCCCGACGCCGAGCCGCCCGGGACCCGAGCCGCCCTGCCGCCGAGCCGCCCGGGAGCCGAGCCGCCCTGCACCCGAGCCGCCCAGCCGCCGAGCCGCCCGGGAGCCGAGCCGCCCGGGAGCCGAGCCGCCCGGGAGCCGAGCCGCCCTGCGCCCGAGCCGCCCAGCACCCGAGCCGCCAGGTCGCTGAGCCGCCTTTCTGCATACCTACTCGACCTGCCCTGCCTGGTGAGCACAGTCCCACTGCCGCTGCGAGCTCTTTCCCTGCTGCTTGCACTGCGTCGCTGTCGTCGCCATGGCTACCCCCAGTGTCCTAGCTTTTGACGCTGAGGGTCGCGCCATTGATTTTGAGGTCTGGTTAGACGACCTGCAGCTGTTCTTACAGTGCGACAGGGCTGACGACCTTTCTCTCTTTAATCTCACCTCTGGCGCCTCTCCTGCTCCCTCTGCTGATGCTGATCCCGCTGTCCGCTCTAAGTGGGCCACCCGCGATGCTGCTGCACGTCTTGCTGTGCGTCGCCACCTCCCTACCTCTGAGCGTGCGCACTTTAGTCAGTACAAGAGTGCTCAGACCTTGTACGACGCTGTAGTTGCGCGCTACTCCTCCCCTGCCACTGCTGCACTGAGCCGTCTCATGCTTCCCTACCTCTTTCCTGACCTCTCTGCCTTTCCCACTGTCGCTGACCTCATTACGCACCTCCGCACTAGTGACACTCGCTACCGCGCCGCCCTTCCTGCTGAGTTCTGCGCTAAGAACCCCCCCCCCATGTACATCGCTCTCTACTACGTAGTTGCGCGCCTCCCTGACACCCTTCGCGTCGTCAGGGACCACTTTCTCGCAGTCTGTCCCACCACCCTCACCGTCGACCTCCTCGAGAAGGCCCTCCTTGCAGCGGAGAAGAGCATAGTCGCTGTAGGTGCTTCTCGTGGTGACCCTCGCACCCCCATCTTTGAGGGGTGCTCTCCTTCCCCCTTGCTGCCCTCTGTTGCCTCTGCTGCTGCTGCCGACCTGCTTGGTCTTGAGTCGGTCGGCGCGGCGTCTGCCCCTAGTGGGAGACGTCGCTCCAGCAAGGGCAAGGGGGGCAAGGGCGCGGGTGGAGCTGGAGGGGGCGGTGGCGGTGGCGGCGGTGGCGGCGGAGGGAGTGGGGGTGGCGGCGGGACTAGTGGCGGGGGTGGTGGTGGTGGTGGTGGCAGCAGCGGCGGAGACGGTGGTGGTGGTGCCAGCGGTGGTGGTGGAGGCAGCGGCGGAGGTGGAGGCGGCGGAGGTGGAGGCAGTGGAGGCGGCAGCCGAGGAGGCAGTGGTGGTGGCGGAGGTGGAGCTGGTCGGGGTGGTACCCAGCAGCGTAGCGGCGGTGGTGGTGGCCAGCGCTCGCACCGGCAGCAGCAGCAGCGCTCGCGGGACATCCCTTCGCCTCAGCAGCTTCGTGAGTGGTACGCTGGGCGTCAGAGGGGTGGGGGTACTGGTCCCTGCACCTACGTTCTTCGTTCCGGCGACCGCGCGGGTGAGCAGTGTGGGGGTGCCCACGCCACCCAGCGCTGCTTTGGCCGCCTGACGGACGCCTGGCGTCAGCACTTCCCTGGGGCTAGTGAGATCCCTCGCTGGGATGAGCTTCTCAGGGCTGGTGTAGCGATCTTTGATCTTGATTTTGATGCTATCCTTACTGCTATGTATGTTGTGGATTATAGTGAGGAGAATGAGGGTTACCGTTGTTTCCAGCCCGACCCGGGCATTGGTACTGCTGCGCTAGGTGCTTGTGAGACTGCTGCTCTAGGTGCCAGTGCGTCTGCGCTCTCAGGTACTGGTGAGATTGCGCTCTCAGGTACTGCGTCGTCCTCGTCCTCCCTCACTTTCACACTTGACTCCGGAGCTTCTCGCTCCTTCTTTCGAGACCGCACTACCCTTACGCCGCTCGGCCGGCCGGTTGCAGTCTCCCTTGCTGACCCCTCTGGAGGTCCTGTCCTGTCTCACTTCTCCACTGTCCTCCCGTGTCCGGCTGCCCCTTCGGGCACCCTGTCGGGTCTGTACCTTCCCTCGTTCTCCACGAACTTGGTGAGTGGAGCGGACCTGCAGGATGGGGGTGTTCACCAGTTCACTCCTGCGAGTCAGCGGGTGACCCACTGCACGGAGGCACGCACAGGCCGACACCTGGCCACGTTCTCGCGTCGGCCGGGGTCGAGTCTCTACACCCTGACCGTTGAGTCTCCTCTTGTCCCTGCGTCTGGTCAGGTGGCTGCGTCGGGTCAGGTACTTGCTGCTGCGTCCCGGTCAGGTCCTGAGTCTGCCCCCTGTTCTTGTCGCCTCCTGTCTCACGAGACTCTCCTGTGGCACCACCGTCTTGGCCACCCCTCCTTGCCCCGTCTTCGGAGCATGGCTTCCCGTGTCCTTGTCTTTGGTCTTCCCCAGTCTCTCCCTCCCCTCCCCTCCGGGCCAGGACCTTCCTGTGTCCCCTGTGTCGAGGGTCGCCTCCGGGCTACTCCTCACTCCTCCCACTTCCCCCCGACAGAGGCTCCCCTGCAGACGCTTCACATGGATGTGTGGGGCCCAGCCCCCGTTCGTGGGCAGGGTTACGAGCGCTACTTCCTGTTGGTGGTTGACGACTACTCGCGTTACACCTCAGTCCTCCCCTTGCGCAGCAAGGGTGAGGTCACTGAGGTGCTGATCGACTGGATCCGCGAGGCTCGTCTCCAGCTCAGGAAGAGCTTCGGCTCGGACTTTCCTGTTCTGCGTCTGCACTCTGACAGAGGCGGAGAGTTCTCTTCTCGCCTTCTGCGAGACTACTGTCGCGCACGGGGGATCCGCCAGACCTTCACGCTTCCGGACTCACCACAGCAAAATGGGATTGCTGAGCGCCGCATTGGCATGGTCATGGATGTCGCTCGTACGTCCATGATGCATGCGGCTGCCCCCCATTTTCTGTGGCCGTTTGCGGTGAGGTACGCGGCGCATCAGCTCAACCTTCACCCCCCGGGTCTCTCGGCCTGCGATGTCCCCAGCCTTGCTGTGGACGGGGAAGGTTGGCGATGCGTCTGTGTTCCGTGTCTGGGGATCTCGGGCGTTTGTCCGCGACTTGTCTGCGGACAAGCTGTCCCCTCGTGCTGCTCCCTGTGTCTTCCTTGGCTTCCCCACTGACGCCCCAGGGTGGCAGTTTTACCACCCCTCCTCTCGTCGTGTTCTGTCCTCCCAGGACGTCACGTTCGACGAGTCAGTCCCCTTCTACCGTCTCTTCCCCTACCGCACTCCTTCCCTCCCCCCTCCCCCGGACTTCCTTGTGCCGGTTCCCCCCCCGGTAGACCCCCTCCCCCCTCAGGTTCCTGCCCCCTCAGGTGTGTCCCAGGTAGACGCCGTTGACCCGGTCGAGGTTACTGGTGACTCTGGTGCTGCTGCGGGTGCTGAGCCTGGGGGTGCTGGCTCTGGGGGTGCTGTGCGCGGGGGTGCTGAGCCTGGGGGTACTACTGCTGGGGGTGCTGGGCCTGAGGGTGCTACTGCGGAGGGTGCAGAGCCTGGGGGTGCTGAGCCTGGGGGTGCTGTGCCTGGAGGTGCTGGGTCTGGGGGTGCTGGGTCGGGAGCTGCTGAGCCTGGGGGTGCTGAGCTGAGAGCTACTGAGCCTGGGGGTGCTGCGTCTGGAGCTGCTGAGCCTGGGGTTTCTCCTGCTGCTGCGTCTCGCCGGGAGCCCCTCTCTCCACAGGAGCTGCGCGAGTGGTTCGCTCGCCGCTGGAGGCGTGCTGCTGAGTCTGGAGGTGCTGCTGGGGCTGGAGCTGGAGCTTCTTCGACCGTCGAGGGTGCGGGTGCTGCCGGTCCCGGAGCTGCTGGACCTACGGGTCCTCCTGGAGCTGGAGCTGCTGAGGGCGTTGGTGCTGAGTCTACTGCTGCTGGTCCTGCCGCTGGAGGTGTGGGTGGCGCTGGTGCTGTCGCTGAGGGTGCTGGTGCTGTCCCTGCTGAGTCTGGAGCTGCCGCGCGGCCTCGGCCGTACTTCGTTCCGCTCCTGCAGCAGGTTCTTGGTCTTTCTCCTCTAGTAGAGGGTCCACCGCCTGTCCAGTCGCAGTCCCTGCTGGAGCCTTCCTCTCC